TTGGGGGAAGGGGAGCAGACAAGTTGCTGTCGTTTTGTTCTTCAGTCTAGTTGTGGAGGACGTTGCTTCACTGGCCCAAGTTGGCACCATCATTGCGCTCTTCCCGGGCGAGGCAGATCAGTCGCCGGCTTCTGGACGGCCGCTCACAGCGGCTGCTGGCCACTCACGCTGGCTGCTGGCTACACACGGTAGCCCATGGCAACCCACTGCAGCAGGGGCTGCAGCCTACGCCGTCGCCGGCGACTCACAGCAGCCCAGCTCCAGGTTGAGCTGTTGTTCAGCATCTTAGCTGTAGAGGGCAGTGTCACTGGCCCTCATATGTGGGATCCGAACTGGGGCTCTCTGGCGTCCCAAGCCAGCTCTTAACCAACGCGCCACTTGGTGGGCCCGGCCCGGTAGTTTTTAAAGAGGATTCAGGGGTGCTTCTGACACAGTGCTGGAAAATTGCATTCCTGCCGGACTCCTGGATTAGTCAACATACGGAGCATCCTGAAATTGCTCGTCAGCACGTGACCGTTCCTCCATACACCAGCAAGCACTGACACGGCAGCTGCCACTTCCCATGTCCCAAGTCTCTAGGCTGATGCTTGCTGGACTGGCTGACAGACATGTCCCAGTCCTTTGTGTGTCGAGTGGCACAGTGATCTTTCCCATTTCTTATGAAAAGTTCTGGTCACGGGCTTCACTTCTGTGGTGGAGATTTCAGTCCTTTCTGGCTCCAATGTGGTCCCGCCATTGTTTTTCAGTTTGTAGAACTGAGCTGTAAAGACCTGAAATCTTTGTGTCGTGTTGCAAGTGTCTTACGAGGGCACAGTCGTACGTCCTTGACCGCCTCTCCGAATTCTGACCATTACTGAAGACAAGCTGCCCTTGTCTACCCATATATAGAACTTAACTTTGTGAAGAAAGTGTTTGTTTGATGAGGTTTATGTGAGTCCCTGCCGATGATGTAGAATTCTGGGAGCCCCAGAGGGTTGATGTCTCGGATAAGTGAGAGTTGAGTGAGCCCCATTGTTTTGCAAGTACATGTCTGCAGGTGCATGTCTCTCACCCACACACACGTGTGCATGAGTGCAGACAGGGACATGTGTGTGCACGCACACGCCAAAGGCGACTGCCCTCACCAGTGTCCCTGACTCGAAGTCGTCCGCATGTTCCTGCAGAGCAGCCTCTTGTCAGGTCTTGAGACTCAAGCTTTACTCTTCACTCAGGCAAAGCTAAAAAGTGGAGTAATTCTAAAACTACTTCAAGGTCAGACTTTTTTTTCCTTGAAACTTGTAGTTATTGCGGGGGGCGGAGGGGGAGGTACCTAAAGTAAAATTTTCTTGTTAAAATTAACTTGGATAGCCTTTTATAATTGATACTGATTTTTTTTTATAAAGATTTTATTGGGGAAGGGAACGGTATTGGGGAGCATTGTGTTTTTCCAGGACCCACCAGCTCCAAGTCAAGTTGTCCTTCAATCTTAGTTGTGGAGGGCGCAGCTCAGCTCCAAGTCCAGTAGCCACTTTCAGTCTTGTTGCGGGGCAGCGCAGCCCGCCATCCCATGCAGGAGTTGAACCAGCAACCTTGTACAGCTGAGCCATCTGGCCACTCATTGGCAGCTCAGCGGCAACGCAGCTCGGGCGCAGCTCACTGGCCCATGTGGGAATCGAACTGGTGACCCTGTTGATCAGAGCTCGCGCTCTTAACCAACTGAGCCACCCGGTTGGCCCGATACTGATTTATTTTGTGAGACAGGGTTTGACTTTTCAGAAGTGGGAGTGAGATGCTCTAAGTGGCCCTTTGAGGTACATTTCCCAGCCGTTTCCCTCAGTTGTGCAGTGAGAGACTGGCTGTGTGTCAGCATCACTGTCACGGCTGAGTCCTCCAGCATCATCTGGGAAGCAGGTGTCCAGGGTTGCATCTCAGGCCAGGCTTTTTCTCAGAGGAGCCCAGGGAGAGCCTGCTGTGGTCTGACCCCGCCAAGGGCTGCGTCCTGGACAGCACCGTGGGGGCCCCTGCAGGGGCTGTCGGCTGCTCTCTCACGGTCCCTACTCACAGTAATTGATAAAACTTGAAGGCCCAGATGTGACATTGTTTGCGATCTCAGGGTGGAACTTGCCTTGGGCTCCTTGGCCTTCCTCCTCTCCGGGTGTCATTAAAACCAGGTTTCCCGTAAAAGGCGTCTAGGCCAGGAGTAGTGTGAAGGTCAGAAGGCAACAGATGGTGACCCTGGTGTCACTTCTCTGGGCCTGTTTTTCATATGGTGATGGCATCTGTCATTGGAGACTAAGGTGCCTTCACCCTGGACGCAGCCTAACTTTCAGGGGTTCCTTGCACGGTGACCCTGGTCTGAGCGTACAGCCAGCCTTTGTGGGGATGACGGCTGGGACCTGAGCATGTCTGTCCTGTGTTGGGGTCGCCTAACTCAGGATCTACACACACGTGGCCTGTTTGTCCTGGGGTGGGAGCAGCATCACATCCTAACTGAGGGCCCTTCCCTGAAGGATGGTCTGTCTCAGAGTTCCTGCTGCCTCTGCATCTTCCGGGGGGAGCCGAGGCCAGGCCCTGGGTGCTGCCCAGGAAGAGACGGTCCTGGCCATGAGCAGGTGGGGCCTCGAGGCTAGTCCCCAGTGGAGGCAGGGCTGCCAGGAAGGGCCTCTCCCCAGGGAGAGCAAGGTACCCCCAAGCCTGGTCCATGCCTCCCAGTCCACTGGACCTCCCTGATCCTGTAGTGCCACGCTGGGGGCCAGGAGGTCCCCCTCTGTAGGAGGACCGCAGAGTGTGAGGCCAGCCAGTGTGGCCCAGGAGGCTGTGCAAGCCACCCCCTCCAGGCAAGTGCCCCTGTGGGGCGCTATGGGCATGGATGGCCACCTTCAAGGCCCCCATGCTCTTGGCCAGGCCCAGAGCTACCTGTCCAGACCTGATAGTGCCCTTCCCAGCTCATCACTCTGCACCCAGGGCGGAAGATACCAGCAACACTGAGCTCATGCAGAGATAGTCTCAGGCCAGAGGCCCCATTCGGGGGTATTCCTGAGTCCCCCAAGCTCCTGTTGACCTCACTGGGGATGAAGGTGGCTCTGGCCAGCTGGCTGTCCCTGGGTCCTGGGATGCCAGGATGTGCTGCCCCAGCCCCAGTCCTCAGAGGCCCCAGGCAAATGGGCTGAGGTCCTGGTCTCGGAGCCACTCACACCTGCTGCCCTGGACCTCAGCCCTCAGCGTGCTGTCCAATCTGCATGACTGTTGGACCCCACCCGGCCCTCAAGAACCGTTAGCTTGCCTGTTTCAAAAGGAAACGCCATGATTCCTATGACAGAGCATGTGCAGCTTATAAGACCCCTGATGTGAACTTGAGCCCCAAAAGGTAAAGGCACCTTTGAGACCATCGGGTGTGCACCAGCATAAAAGTGAGGTCCAAGAATGGAGGGGTGCCTGCCTCGGACGTTCTGTGGAGACCAAATGAAAGCCTTGCTGTGGACTCACAGGCCATCTGGACGCATCCACGTGTGGGGTGAGGCGTGACAGGCCACTTGTTCTTCCCACCCGGGCTGGGGCTGCACTTAGTACTTGGTGTGAGCGCTTTGAGTGAGCGCTTGGCGCGGACACTCGGTTTGGGACATGCGTAGGTGGCTTGGCCTCCACCCTGCTGCTGCCTGTCGTGCTCACGGCCTTTTGTCCCCCTCTTCCTCTTTTCTGCCTTCTCTGGTTTTAATCAGCTTTTCGTATCATTCCACATCCTTTCCTCTCCCAGCATCTCAATTGTACTTGGAGATTTTGGTTGGTGGCCCTCAAGTTTGCGGTACACATTCAGACCCGGCTACGTCGACGCCACGTCACCAAGTCCCCACCCCTGGCCCATGGACTTTTCGGTCATTCATGTCGCTTGTGCATAAGTGAGAATCACCCAGCATGGTGTTCATTAGTTTGAGCAAACAGTTTTCTATTAGATTAGAAATGAAGAAAATAAAAGGTTTCTCACTAATTTTGTGTTTGAAAACTAATACCACAAAACATTGGGCAACACCTTCTCTTGGCCACTCAGGACAGTGGCAGCTCCTTCAGCCTTTGTGGGGACCTGTCTTCACTTGGCATGTGGTGTGAGGGTGCTGTGTCCGGCTGGAGGGGAACCACACCCCACCACCCGTCCTGTCAACCCTGAACTCAAGTCAGGTGGCTTCCCAGGACGCCATCTTCCCAGTTCAGGCTTCAGGGCGCTACAGCCCCTCCCACATAGAACCCCTGGTCCAGGAGGCAGGCAGGGTCCTCTCCCTCAGCTCTCCCAGCAGGTGCCCCCCTTCCCACAGGGAGCTGGGGTGTGGGTGCCAGGAGAGGTGGCAGGGGTCCTACTGGTGATGTCGCCAGAGGGGACACTCGCTGGTGGGACCCTGGAAGCCACCACCAACACACCACAGGGATGGGCCCTGGTCCTGAGAGGCCACCTAGTCCACACTGATGGCCCATCACTCCATCACAGGCTCTGGGGCTTCCCCACCCCAATCAGCAGCCCCTTCCTGACCACACGAGGGTCCCTGGGTTACACCCCTCCCTTAGGGCTGGCTGCTCTGTCACCCGGTGCTGCATTGGTCCCTGCCCTTCCAGCCTTCTTAGGTACTCTGAGCAAGAATCCTGGGCACCTGCTGCTGGCCGGGCACACCCACACCCTCTGCCCCCTAAGGACCCCCACAGCACAAGTGCACGACTGCAGGCAGATCCTGGGGTCTTTGTGACCACCCCAGGGGCTCACCCAGGCTTTGGAGCTGAGCAGGGAGGCCCCCGCCTTCCCCCAGCCAGGCTTCCCAGCTGCCAAGACCCAGCTGCCACCCCCTTCCCTACAAAGCAGGCCTTGCCTCCTGCTCTGGGTGGCCCCAGGCCAATTTCGGCATTTCCTGGGTGCAGGGGCTTCCCTGCAGGGGCGGGGTGGGGGATGGTCACAGCACATGATCATTGAAACTGGGCAGCTGGGAGGGGAGGCCGAGGCCTGGGCATGAAGCCGCCCAGGGGATGTCTCACAACCGTCCTCAAGCTTGCAGAAAGCATCCATTTAATAGAAGGGTCCAGCATGGCCCGAGCACGACTCGTCACAGTCACGAAGGAACCAGGGTGGCCCCTCATGGATGCCTGCCACCCAGTCCCTCCCTCACTGAGAAAAGCTGCTTCCCACGACGTGGCCAGCAGCCCAGTGGCTGAATTGTGCTTCAGAACAGCGGTTAAAAGGGCGTCGAGCAGGCAACAGGATAGCACCGCCCATGCCCCGTGCCCACAAACGCTGTGGCGAGGGAAGTTCCGTTAAAAATAGAGGAGAATGGCTTCTTTCTCGTTTCCCTCAGTCAGTGGCTGCCGGAACACCGGTGTCTCAGCAGGCCCACCTCCCCCGTCACGTGCTCTCCAGAGCCCACCCAGCCTTGGGCTCCTGGCTAAGCCGCGAGGCCTCTGTCGCTTTGATTTCCCTCCGGGAGGGGCTCCCCTGGTTCTCCCACCAGCAGGGCGGCGCCTCTGCTTGACTGCTCCAGGCCCCGACAGTCGTGTGCCCAGGACCAGCTGGGACCCGCAGAGCGGAGAACACGAGAGCATGGCGCAGCCCCGTGGAATAAACGTGTGTGTGTGGCCCTGAAAACACAGCTCCCATGTGGGTGAGTGTGCCCGTGCCCAAGGGGCAGCGTCCAGCCCCCATCCCATCCGAGCTCCTCAGCAGGCCCAGGCGGAGCTGCGGAACATTTGTGCAGAGACCTTGTGTTGATCTGTAAAAACAGGTTAAAAAAGGCTTCCCCGCCTGCAGTCTCACCCCTGCCCCACGTGAGGTCTCCCTTCGGTCAAGTTTCGGGAGCAGCTTTGGGCCGGGCGGGCCAGGCCAGCGTGGCAGACCAGGTCCCTGCACACCCATGCATCACGCTGCGTGCCGACGCGCAGGGCTCCATGCAGGGCTGGCTCAGAGCTGCGTCTCGTCGCGGGTCTCGGGGTTGCTCGAGGCCAACTTGTTGCTGCAGCTGCTCTTGCGACTCTGGGAGCTGCTGGCCACGTGGGCCAGGGGATCAGAGCGGACGAGGTACCTGCAGTGGGCGGGAGGGACCCTGGGTGCCAATGCCGCCCTCCACTCAGGGCGGCCCGCGGGAGGCCAGGGCTGGACACCCAGCATGGGGGCACAGTGTCTACCAGAGTGGTGACCAGAGTGGGTGTCTGCACTGCTTGGGGACACAGTACTTACACGATGTCGTTGGGCTCCAGCCTCGTGTCGGGCGGGGGGTTGATGAGGACGTAGGAGAGGGTATTCTGGTGGTCATTCATCTCGTCTGCAAAGGAGACGGCCCGGCCAGTGGTCACCACTCAGGCCTGCCCACCTCCGCTCTGCCCAGCTGCAGAATCTTCCCAGCCTTTCTGGCCATCCTGCCCGAACCCCTCAACCTGGCAACTCAGCCAGGACTGGTCAGCCACGAGGGCCAGTGGGCACTGGCTCCAGCCCTCACCCCAGGCACCTTGCTCAGCCCGAGCAGCCAGCATCTCACAGACATGGCAGCCATGAACAGAGGCTCTGAGCACACCTGCACACACCTACCACCTGCATAAGCCCGTGGACACCTGCACACACCTGCATACAGCCACACACACAGCTGCACACACCTACCACCTGCATACAGCTGTGCACCACGGCACACACCCCTAACTCAGCCCTCAGGCTTGTCCCCCGCCCCAGTGCCCTGCATCCCTGGTCCACGATGGTTAGTAATGAGAACGGGTTCTGCTGTCACCTCACAGGCATCCCCCTGGCCAAATCCAGGGTCAGGGTTGGCCACCATCGTGGCAGTGGCCCCAAGTACACTGGCAGGGAAATGGATGGCTCGTGGCCTCAGTTTACCCATCTGTGATGTGAAAAGGCACCTTTTGGCTTTCCAAAAGGGTCCAGCCCTGGACGGCCTCTGCCCCCAGCTCTCCCACTTCTTCTGTGCAGCGCCCCCTCCTGGCAGGAGTGCACAGGCCGGGGCCACTGACAAAGGGACAGAATTTTCTCCAAAGCTGGGAAACGAGCTCTCAGGGCTGGATCTGATCCCACGGCGACCAGAGTCCCCCAAGGCAGGTCACGCATAACGCGCTTCCATGGAGGCAGGCAGAGGTGCAGGCGGGGGCACCGGCGGGGACAGGGACTGACAGACATGCGAAGGCCCTTGGGTGGTCACCTGGTGTCAGCCTCCGTATCCACGTCCGGGAACGGGGCAGCCTGACCACCCTGCCCCTCCGTGGGCTGTGCCCAATCAATCGAGGGCCACAGCTGTCTTTGCTCTGTTCCCCAAACCCTCAGCCAGGGCCCTTGGTGGGAGCTGCTAGCCACCATGCAGGTGGCTCGTGCTGGAGGCTGTGTGGGGAGGGGACCCTCCCAGCCGGCATGCATTTCCAGGGGGGCAGCATGGAGGACCGGGTGCCTGGAGCGTGCAGCAGCGGATGACGCAGGCAGGACAGGGAGGGAGCTCTTGGGGGTCCCGCACCACGGCCAGCTGGCCATGCTGACTCACGCACAGTCGGGACAGTAAAAGGGAGAGGCTGTGGCCCTGGAAGGGCCACGAGTTGGTTTCTCCCCCGCGGGCACGGAGCACCCATCTGTGTGCAGGGCACTGGTGCCCGGGTGACAGCCGGGAGCCCGTCTTCACTCGCCGGGCCCTCCCCACGCGGCCTGGCCCCACCCCCCTGGGGTGGATGGACCACAGGCTTAATGAAAGAAAGCAGCAGAGCCCGTGGCTGGGCCTAGCTTTGTACTTGGGGCGCTGAGCTGAGAGATGGGTGGGAACGTGGGGCCCCAGCTGCAGTGCCAGGGTGGGTGTGGTCAGTCATAACACTGACCATGGTTTCCCCAGGACGGGGCAGCTTCACCATGACCGATGTGCTCAGGTGGGGCCTGGGGTGCGGGCGGGCTCTGGCCGCGGCTCTCCTGGCAAGTGACCAAGGGGGGTGCCACCTCACCTGCACCCCCACCCCTGCACTCCCGACCCTGCATTCCAGGCCTCCATGGGCCCCCTCCTCCCTGGCCCCACGGACCTGCATGCCCACTCTCTCCGCTTGCACCTCCGTTTCCTCCTCTATGACGTGGGAGAAATGGTAGCACCTCCCTCAGAGGGTGGATGTGAGGAAGGGGTTGGGGCTAGCGGTGCAGCTGTGGGCTCTGGGGGTGCCTCGGGAGCACACCTTCCCCAGGGGGGACCGCCCTGCAGCCCTGGCTAATGGGGCCACCTCCCTCCAAGATCACGCCTCTTCAGTTTTACATCCTGGCCCTTGACATCAGCATATGGTGGAGGGCTCAGCAGACACCACCCCGTGAGGCCTGATCACTGCAGAGGGGGCCACCTCCACCGGGTGCCTCAGCAGGGAGCAAGGTGCAGCCAGGCGCAGGGAGGGGGCGACACTGCCACCGTTCATGGAAGCCGCCAGGCTGACGAGTGCTGGCTTGGCAGGTCTTCCAGGAACACGGTAGCGGGTTTCAGGTAGGGAAAAGCACAGACCCTGGGGGATGCCTGTGCCAGCCTCCCAGTCCCTGGGCTGTGGGCCACAGAGGTGTCCCTCCCTGGGCCTGCCTGACGGCTCCCTCTGAGCTAATGCCTCTCTGGGCCCGGAGAGCTCCAGGTCATCCCTGGGGGCAGGGGCTGCCCCGGGGGGCCCAGGCATGCGGGCTCTGACCTCCACTGGGGCCCCGAGCGGCCTCCCGGGAAGGGAGGGGTCTCGGCAGCGAGGCCTGTGGCTGGGACTCTGCTCTGACCTCTGCAGGGATCTTTGGGGCAGGTCTGGGGGCTGTGGGGTGCATTTTTTGGAAGAAATGGGGGGCCCAGACCAGACGTGGGGTGTCAATGGGCTTTGTCTCAACTGAAGGGGGAAATCTCCCTCTTGAAGCCCCAGCTGCGGTTTGGATGGCAGCTGTCCATCTGGCTCGGGTGGCCCATGAAGGCTGAGGGCAGAGCAGACCCCACTCCCAGGCCTCACCACGCTCTACCACAGGGTGGGGGGCCCCTGACTTGGGAACATCCATCTGGATGCTTCCCAAGGGGGAGCTGGGAGGGTCGGGGTCCTTGGGTGTCCCTTAGCCGCAGGGTGGCCCACCTGTGAGATCAGCGCAGACTGATGCAGGGCTTACCATCTTAGACAACGAACGGGAGAGGACGCGCGGGGTGACCCCGGAGCTGCACAGTGACAGTCCGGGGACCAGCACAAACCACGCGCCTTCCAGTCAGTGCTGGAGGAGAGAGCACCGAGGTTCCTGCAGTGGGGCGCCTGGGAGCATCGAGACCCTGCCTGCAGGGTCCCTCTCATCTGCTGTCCTGTCTGCCTGTCTGACTGGGGCAGGGCGGGCACCAGGCTGCCCGGCAGTGGAGGGTGGGCATGCCCCCTTAGGCAGCAGCCGTGTCTGCCAGAGCAGAATTACCTTGCAAATATCCCAGGTTTACCCGATTCATGACATCACTGGCTGTTAAATTTGCTACATCCTCTACAGAACACACAGGAAGAGGGACAGACAGAAACAGAGAGAGAGAGACAGGTCAGCAAGCAGTGCGGCGGCCGGCACAGCAGGGCGGGGCTGTCAGCTGCACCAGGACCGCGGGGGCCAGTGCCGGCTACCTGGGAAGCGAGTCAGCCCCTGAATGGAAGCCCGTTCCTTTCTGCCAAGCTCTGGGGGGTTGGCGGGGGTCGCGAGGCCAAAGGGCTTGAGCAGGTGCCAGTTCTGGGAGACGGTGGGCTGGAGTCTCTACCTGCCTACACTTGTGTGGGGCCCCGAACCCCAGACACCCCACTCGGAGCCTCAGCATCAGTGCTCCCCAAAAAGGAGGTGATGGCACCCACCCAGGCCGGGACACCGCAGGGGGAAAAGGTAAATCATGGGGCTGGGACATAATGGGTCTGGTACGGCTCTCGTGGGTCACCTATCCCTGAAACCCTGACCTCTGAGTCGCCCAGGCCCAGGTCTGCACGGCCAATGGATGGCCTGGACCGAGTGACCCCCCGGGCAGCTCCCAGGTGAGCCCTGAGCCATCTGATCCTACTTGGAAAGGGAATTAAGGGCCCCTGACCCAGGAGACAGAGACGGCAAGAAGCAGGGTGGGGACAAAGCCAGGCCTGAGCGACGGGCAGAGGCCCCGAGTGGAACCCAGTGCAGGCCAGAGCCTTGACCTGGCCCAGGGTGTGGACACGGCCAGGCAGCAGCGGGGAGCTCAGGCCCCCTTCGGCCCCGTCAACAGAGGCCGTGTCTCCAGAGTGAGGGAGGGGATGAACTCCTGAGCCAGCCAAGCCACCCAGGCCTGTTCTTGGTCAAGTTCACAAACCTCCCCAAAACAAGCTACAGCCAGAAGGGGCTACCTGCATCTGCTGATGAAGGTGAACGTCACCCCAAAGCAGCAGAAATGGGGTGGCTGTACCATAGGAATGACAGTGGGGTTCCACGAGGCCAACAGCGGAGTGTCGTGGTGCCATTCGCCCAGCTGCCCCGACACCTCCCCAAGCTCTGGCTACTGGGAGGGCCAGCGTGGGGGTCTCCCTGCTACGTACATACGTCCCTGATCTCCACAAGGGCACAGTGGGCGGGCCTGAGGTCCAGCAAGACTGGTGGGAGGTGGCCAATCTGTCCCCAAAACCTGTGTCTTGGGCTTTCAGGGGGCCCAGCCTGGCCCGCCACACCCCACAGCCCCCTCCAGGGGCACTGCATGCGGACTCAGCCAGCTCCAGCCCCGTTTTCACAGACGGGGAAACGCCCCAGAGTGGTGGGGATGAGCTCTTCCTTAGGGGGCTCAGCGCCAGTCTGGGAGGAGCCCACGCCCTCCCCACACCAGAGGGCTCTGCCCGGCCACTTGCCAGTGCCTCTGGGAGGCGCCTGGCTGTCAGGATCACCTGCTGTGGCCCATCCCATCCGTGTTGGGCCCTGCGGCCCGGCCACGCTGCTGGTCCTTACCGTAGCCGGTGGTGGGCAGCCCCAGGTGTTTCATGCGGTTCTTAACCAGCTCAGAGAGCTCCTGCCGCTCGGAGCGCCGGTATAAGCTGATCCGCTGCTGGCTGATGCACTCGGCGGCCGCCTTCCCCACCGGCTTGGGGGCCTTGCGGCTCAGCCTGCGCGCCCACTGCAGACTCTTGCGTCGAAGCAGCGGGTGCTCCACTGGGTCGCTGCCAGTCGAGTGCCGGCCGTGGGTGCTGCCGCCACCAGCTGCTGCCCGCGCATTCCAGGACCCCTTTACTTCCCGCGTGTCCTCGCAGTCCTCCATGCTCACCGAGATCTGGGACTGGCCGAGGCAGGAGGGGGTGAGGGCCGGGCTGGGGATGGGAGGAGGCTGGGCCCCTGGACTGGTGCACTCCTTCTCCATCTGGGGAGGGGCGCCAGGCCAAAACCTCCCCCCTGACTGCAGGCCTGTCACAGTCTACTGGGTGGGCAAGGAAGGCTCCCTCACATCTGCGGGCCCTGTTTCCGAGGGTTCCTCCTGGGCCCTATGTCCTGATTTGGCCACGGAGGGGCACCTCCTCCTGCGCCTTGGTCTCCCCATTTGGAGGGACAGGAGAAAGCAGAGGCTGGGACGCCGTGGACTGGGAGACGCCAGGGCCTGGGCACGGCTCAGTGGGCGCATGGGGCTCTGGGGTGATGTGAGGACCCCATCCAGGCGGCACCTTGCGGGGGGCCCGGGGGCGTGGAGGTTGGGTCAGACTGGTGCGGCGGGGGATACCCGCCATGATGGGGCCAAGGCACGACATGCAGATGGCCGTGTGGCTGGGGGAGCTCGGACTCCCCACCAGGGGCCGCAGCTTCCCCATCTGTATGGGAGGATGGTGCCATGAGCCCTCTCTGAGCAGCTCCGTGGCCAGCACATCCCGGGACTCGATCCCTGACGCTGGTGCTGCCTGGAACCCAGGGCCCCGCGCCCTCCCAGGCCTGGGCTGGGTCCGGGCTCAGGCAGGACTCTGCACAACGACACCTCGACGTAAAGCTGGAAGGGGCCGCTCACCTGGGCTCTGAGGTCGTGGGACTGCAAAGGAAACCAGGAGCAGCCTGGGTACCTGGGCTGCCTGAGCCCCTCATGGGCATCAGCAGGGCAGGCCCCCCACTGTGGTTCGGGGGAGGCACAGGGGCCCCACCACGCTCAAGTCTCCCCTGCCCCACCGGTCACAGCCGCCCAACCACCGGACCCCAGAAGGACCTGACAGCAAAGGCCCAGATCCCCAAAACTACCAATGGAGACGGCCCACATCGCATGGAGAAAAGAGGGGCTGCCCAGCTCTGCAGCCCCGCCCACCCACGAACCTCCGAGGTGGAGAAGACGTGGCACTCGGTCCTGTAGATGCCGATGGGGATCTCCGCACTGGAGGAGCACAGCTTCTGGAAGAGGCGGCCGTAGGTGCTGATCCACAGGTCGTCCTCCGTGATCTTCATCTGGAACGTGCAGGCACCCTGAGCTGGGCCAGCCTCGGCCGGGCAGTACCCAGCACCCTGGTGCCCATCCAGGGCCGGGTGGCCCAGCCCAGCCAGGCCTCGTCACTCACGGCACAGAGGTACCCGGAGCCCGGCGTGGTGTCCAGTCCCAGCAGCAGCCTGGTGATGGAGATCATGTAGTCCTTCACGAAGGACTGGCCGGGAGGAAGGCCACAGTGAGGCAGGGCGCCCACCAAAGGCACGCCCACCAGGCTCCCCGAGCCTCCCGCGCACGAAGCCACCTGCTTGCCAGTCCCCGAGCACCGCTTAACGAGCAGACAGCTGGGAAGACTTCCCTGGCCTTGGCCAAGTGTGTCATGTCAAGAGAGACCAGAAACAAAGGCTGGCGGGAGCCGAGTCCCTGGCAGTGACTTCTGGGAGGAGGAGGGCTGAGGACACTTAGAGGTGACCCCTGCTGTGCCAGGGAAGGGGTGGGACCCAGAGCCACCCAGTGTTGGCTGGGCTCCCGGGGTCCCAGGGAAGGTCACTCAGTGGGAGGCCCGTCACTCAGAACCGGGACCCTCAGCAGGAGCCGGAGAGAATGGCCGGGGCTCCCAGCGGGCACCGCGGGCCCCCACCCTGCTGCCCAGCTGACCTGATAAAGCAGCGTGTCCAACATGCTGATGCTAAAGACGCGGCCGGCGGCAAACGGCAGGCGGAACATGAACGCCAGGTTGGAGCCATTCTCCCGTTCCCTCTGCAGGAAAAGGGGGCTCAGACAGGCCGGTGCTCACGGCCACCATGGAGCACACGTGGATAGGATGTGCACGTGTGCGCGTGTAAGTGTATGAGATACATGGGTGCACGTACTGGCAGACAGCTGACCACAGGCCTGAAGCAGCACCTGGCTCTGTCCCCACCGGACACGCTCGGGAGTAAGGATTCGGGGCCCCGATGAGCGGGAGCCCAGGGCATGTGGGACCCGGGCAGCCACACAGGGCCCGCTTGGCTTACTGCTTGCTGTTGCCACCCCAATTCTTAATAATCTAGGTGACATCATCCCAGAAGCTGTGTTTCATTAAGTGAAGGCTGAGCACACGGCAGGGAGTGTGGGCGTGAGCAGAGCCCAGAGAACCGTGTGCGGCTGTTTGCACCCAGCATTCCATGAGCACAGAAGTGGGAGACCCATGGCATGTGTCCTGGGACAAATCACTGAGGAATCACAAGTTCGTTCTCTCACATCTAGAAGTCCAGAGGCCCAACAGGCTTCCTGGGGCTGCAGTCCAGGAGTCACGAGGCCCACACCCGCTGGCGGCCCGAGCTGACAGTCGTCTCCGTCACCACTTCCAGTTTCTAGAAGCCGACCATTTCCTTGGCTCAGGGCCCTTCCTGCATCTTTACCGTTCCCATAGGAACCCAGTGACTTTGCTGGGCCCGACGGGGGACCCAGGATTGTCTCCCATCTCAGGGTCCTTAACACAACCCCAGCTGCAAAGTCCCTTTTGTCACACACCACGTTCCATATAGGTCTTGGCAATTAGGACAAGGACATCTTTGGGGACATTATCCCCACCGCACAAGGCACGTCCTTGACCGAGGAGCAGGCTGTGACAGCCCTGAGGCTGTGCCACCCACTGTAACCAGGACTCGCTTCAAACTCAAGAAGATGAGAAATAGATGCCAGGAGCCGCCCGCTGCTCCCTGACTCTCGCTGCTCCCTGCAAAGGACATGACGCTTTCCTTCCGGTCCCTCCATACTCAGCAGGGAGTCCAGGGTGTCACTGGCAGATGTGGGGGGGGGGGCTGACAGTAAGTCTGGGGCATGTGTCACTGTTTCCTCCAGCAAGAACGAGATGCGTGTGACCGAGGAATACGAGAACCAAATGACTGTGCGGATTCCTCAGCGAAACGCGTGGCATTAGAACTGGCACAGCACGTGATGAGGGTGAAAGATGGACTTCCCGAAGTTGCTAAGATGTGCTCTGTCCTTACTAAGAATGGCGCTGACGGACGAGAAGGCCCACGCCAGGCCCAGAGGTGTGAAGGCCGTCAGAACTCTTCCCACCTTTTGGACAAGGCCACGTTTCCATGCTGCAGATTCCAAGGCAGGCCTGGGGGGACCCGAGAGCTGTGACCAGAGCATCAGGATACAAACGACAGCGAGATGCAAGAACATGCAGGGAATGAGCCCTTCTTGTGACTCTGGGGCCCAGAAACCTCATGCAGAGCGAGAAGTAGGACGGGACTGGACGTGACGGGCAGCCGCGGTCAGCACAGAGTGTCAGAACAATGAGGCCACGGGAGCCCTGGGTGCTGGGACGGGAGGGGGACGGGGACAGTGGGCCCTCACGCTCACGTCTGGCTTTTGGAGACCTTCCTGAGCACGACCTCCGGGGAGCCGCCTCTAGTCTGCGACCCCGATCTCTCAGCAAGGCACGTTTACCTGAATGCCAGAAACTGGCAGTGCTGCTGCCATTTCTACGGTTAAACCTGCCCAGGGAACCTGGCTCCCCTGCCTCTCCCCCGTCCTCCTGCAGCGTCCTCTCGGCCTGGGAAGCCGCTGTGACCTGCGTAGCTTTTGGTTTCCTTTCTTCTTCACACGTGAAGTAGAACACACGTTTATAACAAACATGCACACTTTTAACAAAGGGCCACGCTTTAAAGAAATGTTCCCAGCTGCTCCTGTGGGAAGCCATCACCATTCGTTGGGCATCTGTCTGAAGCGTCGGGAGCTGGGACATGCCTAGGGTGGCAGAGACCCTCAGGGGACCCCAGGCCACGTCTGGCCAGGGTGCGAGAAGATGAGGGCTCCAGCGGCCGCCTACGGGCCGGGTACTCGCCAGCAGTGGCGTGTCGTCAACTCTGACCATCTCTCGAGAGTGGGTGGCATCCTGTGGTTCTGCTGGCCTCTCTCTCCTCAGCCCCCAGCCCCAGGGCCTCTGTCCCATGGGGACCTCAGAGGAGCCGAGCCAAGACTGCTTCCTGAGGCCGCCTCTGCGGTCATGCAAGCTGACGGCCTGCTACCTGTCCAGGCAGAAACGGGGACTGGAGCACGTGTGCCGTGTGTGCCGAGCTGACGCACTGCCGGCCCAGCCCCTGGAACAGGTGGGCGCAAGGCCTGCAATGAGCTCGGTCTGCTTGAGGGACACGCGAGGGAGGATCTTGCAGGACATCAGCCTGGAAGCCGATTCCACACCGGTCACCATCGTGCTCAGGTCAGACTGGACCTTTCAGATCCTGAGACTCCGCCCAGATCCGGAAGCGGCCCAGCACGTGGACACAGAATCCGACTTCCCACAGTTCCAGTTTGCAGCGCATGGTGGCCCCGGGGAGCTGCGGGGCGGCCCTGGGTGTCGGGGGGTGCTGGACCTGAGCAGTGGCTGCCTCCAGGCAGGGGCTCCTCTGTCTGCTCTGTGGGCCTGGGGGCCGCCCTCCCAGCTTCCGGCCACCCCTCTGGCAGCCGCAGAGCTCCAGGGTCCTCTGGGCATCCTGGTAGTGGCTGGGCGGGACCCATTTCCATGGTCCACCGTGGTGCAGGGCAGATGACACTCCAGTGCAGGTGCTGATGGCCAGGCCCAGCTCTAGGGCCACCCCTGTGTGGCCCAGGGTCAGCCATGCAGGTGGCGGGCCACTCCCTGATGAGGACTTTAGCTCGGGCTGGGGAGTGTGGGCTCACAGGGAATGGTGGCTGCTTCTGACCGCGGTGGCTGGCTGTGGCCCTCTGGCAACCCGCCTGCTCCCTGGTCTCAGCCTGGCAACCTGAGCGCTGCCCTCACCTCAACACCCAGCCGTGCCCCTTGCCGTGGAAGGCGGTGCTGCCACTGGCCTGGGCAGGTGCCTAGGGTGTGCCAGGGTGACACCAAGGCTGGAGCCTGTGTCCCTGGTGGCCGGTCTCCCTGTCCCTGGCTGGTGCTTGTGGCCTTGGTGGCCTGACCGCATGGCCCTGGTGGGTCCCCGTGCCCCTGGACTCACAGCGCACCTCAGCTGTGCCCTCACGGAGCCCTGCTCTGCTGTGTGACCTGAGGCAAGTGCCCCCCTCTGATCCCAGTCCCTTGTCTGTACTGGCAGTGACCACATGCACCTGCTGCACAGTAAACAGAATGGACACATTTCAGGGTCGGATGCCAGGGCTGATCAAAAGAAAGCGGTCATGGTGTCACCTGTGTTAGTGTCACTGACCCGACAGGCGCCCAGGCCTGTACCTGGCTTGAGGGAGCGATGTCAGCTCCCAGCCACAGCCCCCAAGGCTGGAGCTACACAGTCAAGAGCCTCACAGGGGAGCTGAGCCCCACCTCTGAAGCTCTTGTGGGATGAGGGCAGTGCCAGGCCTCCCGTGGGCCCTCACCCACCCCCTCCAGGCTTCAGCAGATGGAGGGGCTCACCTTTTCCAGTTTGGAGAGAGCCAGCGAGTAGCTGTCCTTGGCACGGAACTGCATGAAGCGCATGTTGGAAGGGTGGGTGAGCTCCGTGGTGATGCTGAGACTGGGGAAGAGCCTGCGGGGGCGGGGCAGTCACGGGGGCGG